CTTTGATGATCCTACGAATAAAATGATGATAGTCCATTCAATACAATTGCTAAAGTATACTTATATATTGTATTCGATGACCATACAATGACCCTACGCATGTCCCTTCACATCCAATAGATGGGGCTACCTACCAACTAATGGTATGGATAACACTATATCTAAAGGAGAAGGAAAAGAATAAGAACGACCTTTAGTGGGTAAGGAACTCTTAATCGCTTACTCACAATATTTTCTAAAACACATTTTTTACACATTACACTTTCAAACAAATATTTTAAAACACTTTGTACGCATTCTTGAGGACTGATATAAGAATCATTACAAAGTTAGTCTTACATTGACTTTTTTCAAAATATTTTCAAATTACACACAAAAAAAAAAGATTTTTAAAAGTGAGCTAGCAATTAAGAGCTTGTATATAACTACGAATGAAAAGGGCGCTAACACCTTCCCTTTTCATAACTTATCCCCCAAACTCAAATCTAACAAAGGTCTTTCCTATTCTTTTCACCTTTCATAAATATTGGATAAAAGAAAAGTCGGTGGAGACTCTAGCTATCCGCACATTTGAATAAAACCAAAAAAGTCAGTTCTCCCACCTTATTACAATGTGTTTATAGGATGATAATGTTACTGCTAATCTTTTCCTTATATCTTTTATAATGATATATGATTACTCGCCCTTTATGTTTGAATATTGTCTCCACGTGGGTAACGCGCAGATACTCAGGAGTAGCTTGTTGCAGTAAGAATGATAGCTCTTAGAGAATTTATTAGTTTTCCGCTATTTAGAGGTGTCTTACTCTGATACGTAACATCGGGTTGAAAGCGTTTGGTTTGATTTTCTTTGTTATAACTATGTTGAATTTTTTGTAATATTTTTGGTATGCCGAACCAGTTGTGGTTCTAATTCTTTCATGAAAATAATGTCATCAGGTTTATTTTGTTTAAGGATAAATTTGAAAGATGATTCCTCTGTGATATTTTAAGTTAAATATTGAAGTTATATATATATATATATATATATATATATATATATATATATATATATATATATATATATATATATATATATATATATATATATATATATATATATATATATATATATATATATATATTATTTTAGTGTGTGTTCATAAAGAATATAACAATAATTATTGAAACCCGTGTTACGTAGCATGATTGTATTTATGTTGTTTTATTATGAAGTGTGACACCCTTGTGTTATGGTTTTAAATTAAATTATTCGTGAATAATATGTTACATTAGTGGTATGTGTTATATCCCAATTTTCCCCCTAAGATCATCTATCATTCCACATCCTCACAATATATCAAGATCACATATTTGTGTGGGTTATCTCTTCTACTTTCTCATATCTTTAAGTTTTCCCTTGAGGGATCACCAAACTTTAAAATTTATATTTTATATACGTGTGTTTCTTGTTTACTAACCCCTTAACCAAAATCCAAAAAGATGTATGTATTCCTTTTTATGCTTTGTACATTGTTGGTATTAAGCCAAGTGGATATCTCTCACCTCCTAAGCTAGGATTTTGAAGATTGATCCTCAGTCAACTGGATATTCATTAGACTTTAAAAGGCTTGAATTTCAAAGTTATTACTATATCATCAAAGTTCTATGGTTTGTGAATTCTCTCAACTTCATTTGATCAAGTTGGCCTCAAAGTTAGTGGTTTGATTCATCAAGAAACTTCATAGATTCATGTGTTTATTTCCATGCCTTCTTAAACAAGTTACATCAAGATCCGGGCTTCATCATTAAGTGTTCTTTAAGGCAATATCATTTCAAGGTCTAGTGTGATTCATCATGCCTTAATTTACAAGAAAATTTCGAAAGATTCAAAGTTGATCCAAGTGGTTTGACCTAATTGGACAAGTCCTTGATTCTATGGCCATAAATGCATAAATATATCAATTTTCAATAGTTTGAAGTGGTTCTTTTTGCTATGGAATCTTCTCATCATCTATAACAACTTCTCTTCACATGACAAGATCCAATAATGCAAGGAGGGTCATCAAACGTTTGGAATGATTACAAGTCCTTTGAGAAAACCATTGAAATCTTTGACTTGATCTCAAAAGACAATAACTTGGTCAAATTTCATCCCCTTGAGCTAATTCTTTCCTCACAACAATCATTAGGATGTCTACTACAACTTTGATTCAAAGTGAAAGATCTAAAAATGTTTGGAAAGTTATGAAATTGATGAAAACATTATAGGTCATCTATGGATTTTTCAAGAAATTTTGATTAACTTCCAAGAACCATAACTCTCTCATTTTTTATGATTTTTGAGTGATATAAATTCCATAATTCTATTTGAAGAGTCTACTTCATTTTATCTTCAAGGATCAAGAGCTAATTTTGAGTGGAAGATCATGTAAGTTTGCAAAACATTATAGGTCACAATGATGCTCCATACTTTGAAATTTTTATAAGTGTCAAAAACAGTTGGTTTCTTCTGGTTTTCATTGTCACGTTGATTTGAGCTTGTGATTTCAAAATTCTTTTTCAATTTTCTCTCTGGTTTATTTCTAAGTCGAGTAGTTTGTGTTTAATATAAACTTTTTGTGAGCACATGGTTGAAATCGTCTTGATGAGATGCATCCAATGATATCCATGTGAGCGTCTAAATTTACATTTTAAGGAATCTCAACCTTGCCCTAGTTGCAGGCGTTTGGAGGTTGAAGATGACCTATGTGTCATCTTCAACCAACGAAGGTGCGTCATTTAAAATATTCTGATTGGTATAACGTTTTGGAATCAGATGTTGCGCTTTGACTTCTGTCCACCATACATCGTCAGCTTTGGTCCTTTGGATCTGCCAGCATATTTTAATGAATCAGATCTAACATCTCAAGTTTTTCTGATTTATTTCTTTTATACAAAATTATTTTTAAATTCATTTTCTCTTCAAAAGTTCACAACTCTTTTATTTTTTATCCAAAAATTATGAAAAATTACACAAAAATACTTTGAATTATTTCTGACTTTGTGAATATTTTTCATATTTTTATTTTGATGTTTGCTATTGTTTATAATTTTTTGGATATTTTACTTTATTTTAATTAGTTTAAAAATACTTTTAATACTTTTTAAATTCTCGAAAAACTATGGAATGATTCAATGATGGTTTGACAACTTATGATGACCTTGTTTGATTTTTTTTTACTTTGCTATTTTTTAGTATTTTTGGTTTATTTTGATTAATATTTATGTTTTTTTAAAATTAGTTTCTGACCTTTTAAACCTCTGAAAAAATTAGTTAACAATTTTTGACTCATGTTTGTCCTCTAGTAATTTTTTGGAGTTATTATTTGGTGTTTTGATACACTTAGTGTATTTCATCAATTAATTCTATTTAACTAACCATTTTAAAAATTGTTTTTAATTGTTTTAAATGCATTTTTACAACGTTTAGCACACCCTATGGAACTTTCTGTTATAAAGTGACGCCCTTCGGGTTAAAAAACACTGGTGCAACGTACCAGAAGGGTATGACAATCATATTCCATGATCTGATACACGAAGAGATCGAGGTATATGGTGATGATATGATCGCCAAATCTCATACTGAAGAAGGTCATTTGGAAGACTTGTTAAAATTATTTTAGCGTTTGAGGAAGTATTGTGTCTGCTTGAATCAAAATAAATGTACTTTTGGTGTCCGTTCTGGAAAATTGTTAGGCTTCATTAATAGGCAGAAAGGTATTGAGGTTGATCCTGATAAAGTTAAGGTAATTCAAAAGATGCATGCACTAAGAACTGAAAAGCAAGTCAGGGGCTTCCTTGGACGTCTAAATTATATCTCCAGATTTATTTTCCACATGACTACAACTTGTGAATCAATCTTCAAGCTTCTAAAGAAAGATCAGGGTTATGTATGGACGAATGATTTGCAAAAGGCTTTTAAAAATATTAAAGAGTATCTGCTTGAACTTTTTATCTTGCTCCCTCCTGTTGAAGGAAGATCATTAATTATGTATCTGACTATGTTAGATAATTAAGTGGATTGTATTTTAGAACAACAAGATAAAACATGAAAAAAAATATCATTTATTATCTGAGCAAGAATTTCACTGATATCATACCCTAAATTTTCTCGACCCTTCACAAAGTATAAGCATCTTTTCTACTTCGAATAAGTGCCATAGCTTAGCATCTTTTCTACTTCGAATAAGTGCCATAGCTTAATGGTAACAGAGTAAAAGATTTCAATGCGGGACCCCCACTCTTATGTTTGTCACTTTATTACTAATTAGTTTTATTGTAGTTTTAATATTAGAGCTTATACTGGTTTATCACTAGATTATCATTAACATGTCATTAGTTTATATTGTAAATTTATGCTAAATATTGCTATTACTGAAATTTATGTTACTATGATGTGAATACTCTTATTTCTCGTTATTAGATATAGATAATTAATTAAATTTATATTATTGTGTCCATAGGTCATTATTAGTATAGTCATCAGGAGCTAATTAATTAAATTTATATTATTGTGTCCATAGGTCATTATAGGTCATCTATGGATTTTTCTAAAATCAAATCTTTACGAAGTGAACAAAATATCAAAAGCTCCTCAAATCTCTATTCATAACAGAAACATTAAAAGAAACAGATAAAATCCTCCATTTGCAAAACTTAATCAATTCCAATCAACTTCATAAAATTGCACATCATCATAATCACTGATTTCAAACAAAGGTTATATAAAAAATGTATAATTGAATCAAATCTTTATTAAGACTTAATGGAATCAATCAACCTTAATCAGACTCAATCACAATAAAAAGAGATCAAATCTTCTGGACCAAATATGAAGAACCGTGTGAATCAAAAGGAAAATCAAAATCCTCACAAAAACCATTCTAAACTCATATCTCAAATCACAGAAAATCACATCCAATCTTCCCAAAATTTGCAAACTTGAACCTCAAGACTACAATTTGGATCGAATCTTCATAATGTATAAAAGAAGGAGCCTAAGACCGAAAAAGAGGCGGAAAAAATCGATTATGCAGCAGCTATCATACCTTATCGGAACTCCTTCAACAAGCTCCCTCAATCACCGGCGAATACCTCTGTCCGGGCACAAGCTATCCTCAATCGCGCAGCTTCTGCCCCGTCCAGATCCACGAAGCTCCTTCTCTCGCAGTCGAAATCAATCGATGACAACCTGCCATCCACACGCTCATCCGACGTCGCCGCACCTCTGATTGCGTCTCCTCCACCATCCGCGGCTGTCCGGCTTCAATCTTCAGTTGTTTTTTTTTACCTTTTACTTTGTTTGTATCTATGATGGAAATTTGATTAGGGGCGATGGTGTTGTTTTTATGAATCATGAGAAATTGAGAAACAGGGTGGTTGTTCAAGTATTAAAAACAAGAGCGAAGCAAATTGAGAATTTTTTTTTTAATTAACCACTTTTTAAATAAAAAAAAATCTCAAATAACCATTTTTTCTAAAAAATTTATCAAAGTAATCATTTTTCAAATAAAAAAAATTCACCACACAGAGATCAATCCACTTTGTGTAACGCATGCATGTAAATTAAAGAGAAGACGTCACACTGCATGGTTTGTCCTCCTATGTAGTACCATGCAGTGTGGCGCATGCATGTAATTTTTACGAGGAGGCGCTATATTATATGGCTTGACAGTTGTTGTTATTAATTTTTTTTTAAATAATAATAAAAGTTATTAAAAATATTTTATATTAATATTTTAAATTACACAATACATAAATACATAGTTTTACGGACGTCTCCTACAACCTAAGCGTGTCCTTGTATGACATAAACGCCTCCGCCTTTACCTCACCCCTTGCCTCACCACTGTCAGTTAAATTTCCTAAGGTGTTTGGGGTCTGTTCTTACTCGCTTGATGATGAGGTGCTTGATGTGATGATCCTGGTACATTAGGATCATACATCTCCTCGATCATTTCTCCCAACTGTGCTTCTAAAGAGATCGGTACCCATGTTGTTGAAGTTTGGTATTGTTGGTTGGGATATGTGTGGGTGAGGTGGTTGATAAAATTGGGATGTTAAATCGTTTTGGATACGAAGCAACGATTCTTGAGGTGTCTGAAATTCGTATGATGGTTGGGTACTTCGATGATGTGATGTTTGACTGTATGTAGGTTAAGTGGTATGGTAGGAAGAAGAAGTATCATATGTGTCTTCGGTGTTGTGGTAGGACGCGAATGGTGCATATTGTTTGTGGTGGGTCAGGTCATGCTCTTGGTATTGTGTTTGTGTGTGTGACATGAATTGATGACAGGTTTGGTTGGATGTGTTGGTGTATGGTTGTTGGGTTTGGTATTGTTGAGGGATTGGATGCTGGAGTTGTTGTTGGGTGTAAGATGCAACTCTTTGGCGTGGGTCGATCAAATATATCTCATGAGACATAAACAAATTTGTTGAAACCGATGTGTACCATGTCAAATATTGGAGAGTTGGTTTTAAGTCATCTTGCAAGATCGGCTCCCTTAGGACCAATTCACGTCGATGCCTCTATTGACGACATTGATTTTTAGCAAAGTCTCTCAAATCATTAAATCTCAATTGGTCATCAACTCTGAGTAGATGCCATTGTCCCAAACACGTATGAGGTCAGGGATACCCTAATGCATGTCGAATTGTAGCTTCACACGATCACTGTGATGCATCTCCACAGTAGTGAACCTGATGAGCGTTGTTTTTCTGTCCAGAAGTCAGCATCCGCTAGGTTAATCTCATGGTCGAGATCCTTATACGGCCTCCATACAAATTGTAGAGGAAAAAGGGTGTTAATCTAATATTAATATTAAACTTAATTAACATATTGAAAGTGTTGCATAAAATATGTAAGTTTAATATCTCTTCGAGTACAACATGATCAATAAAATATCGGTAGACTACTATTGCATTTCTAGGATGGAAGACTTGAAAGCATGTATACTTCTAGAGTATACTTCTGCTTTGTACAACTTTTTTAAATATTTTTCTTTTTAGAACTTTAAGCTGCAAAGCATAACCTGCAAAACAAGTAGGTATATTAATCTATCACTTATCCTCTTTGTAGGATGCATTTGAGCATGTGTTATCTTCTTTGTTGGAGGATGATTCTTTATATTTCACCCTGAGGTTGAAATCTTCTCTCCTCTTTGTTCAATTGTCTAAAGATCCATCTTTAACCTTTTTGTTGTTCTTTGAACATGAGGTTTCTCTATTTGATGTTGATTAAACTGGAACATGATATAGTATGAGTGATGATCTTCTAGTTTAATCTTTTGATTGCATCAGCTTTTATGATTCCCCCCCCCCCCTCTCTCTCTCTTGATTTTTCTTAAATTTATGAAGGTTTATATCTATATATTTAGGATTTGGATAAATACTCCAATTCTTAATTCTCTATATAAATATTAGTAACAATAATTTCTAATAAAATTTATTATGGCACTAGTACTAGGAAAATATTTATTAGACTGTTTCATAGCAGTACAACATACTATTTTTTGACATGGTTTTAGGTTGTTATGTGGACAGTACAACAAGCTTGGGTTTGGCAGCATATAGGACTTTGTTCAGGAAGCATCTTGAATCTCTAAAAGATGTCGAATACTTCATCATTTCGTTTTGATCACATAGATCCATAACCTTAGACCAAACTCATCAACAAACAAAACAATATTTGTTTCCACCAATTGTATGCTCTTCAAATGGACCACAATCATCTGAAGGTACCACTTACACCATCCTTTTGTTTTGATCACATAGATCCACAACCTTCGACCAAAATCACCAACATACAAAACAATATTTATTTCCACCAATTATATGTTCTTCGAATGGACCACATTCATCTGACTGTACCACTTACTTCATCCTTTTGTTTTGATCACATAGATTCACAACCTTCGACCAAACTCATCAACAGACAAAACAATATTTGTTTCCACCAATTGTGTGTTCTTCGAATAGACCACATTCATTTGAATGTACCAATTTGAGTATGCAAGATGATCTCATTGGCATAGTCGAAACGAAATAATTTCTGGATTGCTTTCCTACCAGTAACCATATCTTGAGTAATAGTTGGTCGAAAGTTCAAATGTCTAAACCTCAAATTGTAATTCATAGTGTCGAAACTATGTGTGTTGAAGGGTTTAGAGGTGGATCGAAGAAAGTTACTCGAATGAAGCCATTGCCCAGTTAAAGCTTGTGGATCGAAGGAAACATGTAGATAACATGTCAGCTATCAATATGGCGAAGAACCCAATAGTACATGGTCGAAGCAAACACAATCGAAATGAGGTTCCATTATCTCCGAGAGCAGGTAGCAGATGGGAAGATGAATTTGGAACACTACAGAACTCAGAATCAGATTGCAGACATCATGACGAAGGGAGTGCAGGTCGAAGTATTCAGAAGACTAAGAACCATGATGAATATAGATTGTTCAGACCCAGTGAATTAGGTGGTGTGTCAAATTGTAATTCATAGTGTCGAAACTATGTGTGTCGAAGAGTTTATAGGTGGATCGAAGCAGGTTGCTCTAAGGAAGCCATTTCCCATTTGAAGCTTGTGGATTGAACCAAGCTTGATCTTCTTCGACTTTTCAAAATCTGCCAACCATTCCTTTTGATCAGTCATGTAGTTTGAACAACCTGAATCATATTTCGAATTCGACACAGTTATCTGCAACTGCACATTTTTTCTTTTATCTACTTTTCCCTTTCCACAATTTTCTCTTCCTCCTTTCGAAGATTCAGAAGTTCCATCTTCGACCTGATGCTTGAAAGTCCAATATGATCCATGAAAACTATATGGAGCATTAAAAAGTCCAATTATACTTGTGCAAACTTGAGCTTTTGGAAATCTTTATGAGAAATGTCTTGAGAAAAGAGAGTGCAAATTTTGGGTACAACAATTGTCTCTGTACAATCTTCTTAAACCCGAAGAGTTAGATTGGTGAGTCCGCCATTCGTGACTTGAAGGTGGAAGATGATTGAACACTAGAGTGCCCAGAAATTTGCACTCGATGATATGGTGATTGATTATGTTGAGAATGGGCTTAAAGATGCCATTTGGAGAGGTGATAGAGAGTCAGTCGGAGATGGGCTTACAGGTGCCATCCATAGTGACTGTTGTTAGAAATTGGAAGAAGTATCAAAAAAAATTTTTGGTCGATTTATACTGAAACAGTAGATGTCTTGAAGGAAGTGTTTGTCATGTAGATAGTCGCCCCGTCTTGTTTCAGGAATTGATCTACAATCAATTTGTTGGTAAACCTAATCTGTTTCGAGAGTTAATACCATTGGTGATAAAGATAGTCGCCCCGTCCTATTTCGGGAATTGATCTTTACCTAACCAAAAAGAAAGAAAGATAGTTTCTCTGTCCTATTTCGGGAGTTAATCTTCAATCTGCTCATGTAGATAGTTGTCTTGTCTTGTTTCAAGTATTAATCTATAATCAGTTGTTCACATATAGTTGTCCTGTCTTATTTCAAGTATTAATCTGGAACTTGTTTTTTTTGTTGGTTGTAGAGATAGTTGTCCTGGCTTGTTTCAGGAATTAATCTCTCACCTTAGAGAAAGAAAGATAGTTTTCCCATCCTGTTTCGGGAGTTAATCTTAAATCTGCTCATGTAGATAGTTGTCCTGTCTTGTTTCGGGTATTAATCTACAATCAGTTACTCACAAATAGTTGTCTTATCTTGTTTCAGGTATTAAACTGGAACTTGTTTTTTGTTGGTCATAGAGATAGTTTCCCTGACTTGCTTCAGGAATTAATCTCTGACCTTAGAGAAAGAAAGATAGTTTCCCCGTCCTGTTTCGAGAGTTAATCCTCAGTCTGCTCAAGTAGATAGTTGGCCTGTCTTGTTTCAGGTATTAATCTACAATCAGTTGCTCACAGATAGTTGTCCTGTTTTGTTTCAGGTATTAATCTGGAACTTGTTGAAAATTGATGATGATATTTGTTTGTTGATCTTTCCTGAAAAGGTAAAGATTTTAGCTGTATTCAAATTCATGATGCATGATGTTCTCAAAATAAATGAGATTGCGCTATATGTACTTTGTATGCATATTCTATGATGTTTGTAAAATAATGTATGAATGCAATATATGAACTGATCAATTGTTCTTTGTAGCATTATTGAATTGAGGGAAAAATAAATCCCTGACTGCTGCTAGGAGAAGTATCAGAATAAATCTTTGGCCGATTTAATCTGAG